CTGGATCTTGGGGAACTTGGGTTGTGTCCTCAATTGTTTAAATAACTTAAGCAATTGTAAATTAAGCTATACATATTGCCCCATGAGGGCCTAAAGAGATCCCCAGTCGCATGGGCTCTTTATATGTTATAAAAAAAAAAAAGCAGCCTGATTGGGTCTGGGAGTTTTGACCTGATTGGGTCAGTTCAGTCTCCTGAAATGATATATATAATTATTTGGCATCTTCCACATCTCCCAGCTTGTCTATGGAAGTCCACGGCCTAGACCACAGTCAACCCTCCTTAATTTGTGTGACAAGACCAATCTCGCCACTGTGCATTGGAGGAGCCTGATTGCCTGCCTGCTGCCTATGGCCCCATGTTGAAACACTTGATTTTCCCCTGCGAAGACACGAAAGCCGGGTCATTCGGTGCTGGCCCTGTTTGAGCTGTGATACCCCAGATAGCTATGCCATGGAGCCCATTCATATAATGAAAGACTATGGGAAAGACTTTGGCTCCATGGCAATTGAACTGTATGTGTGTGCTCTGAGCGCCATTCAGTAATAATGTGCGCTCAGATCTGAGCTATCTGGGGATATGTTGAATGTACCTGTTTTGTGCAATGGCTGCACATTTATATATTTTTATGTATTTTATTGTCTTTTGCTGCCATGTGTTCAATGGAGTTTTGCCTCTGTCCTTTGAGATAATTGGATTACTTCCCAATTATCTCCAGGATAGAAGACTCTGTGGAACTTGTTTTGGGCAGAAAAGCCATGCTTCATTTGGTCACAAAGGACTTCGATCTATCTTTTGAACCAATGGACCAATTTGGTTTATGATTTATGTGTGTATTTGGAGTATGCTGATTCTGAAAATGTAAGTTTTATGTGAATGTGATGCATACTTTTCAAGTTATGAATAATGTGGAAAAACTGTATTTCTCTGCTGGTGATAATTACATTACCCATTGTGTAAGGTAGGGGAGGATTTTGTGTGGGAGTGTCTGAGTGTATTGTATGTGTTTATTGGTTGTTTTCCAAAACCCTGTGGGTGGTACTAATGTATATATGAACAATAGCCCAAAGCTCTGGCTGTTCACTGCTTGACCCTCAAAACAGAGCCTTGTCTCGTTCTTGGGGGGATTTACTGTATGCTGTTCCAGTTTGACTGCTAGGAGTGTAAACCTATTCGTATGGTTTTTCCTATTCGGCTGTTTACAGCATTCGTATGGTTCCGGTTCAGCTGTTTACAGCATTCATATGCTTCTCCGTTTTGGTGTCTACAGTAGCTGTCTGCATATCTGGAAGGGGAATATCTCCTAAATCACAGCACTCTTATGTGCAAATCTTTTCTTGCAAGACTTGTCCTCTAATGTGGATAGAAAATATTGGCCTGTATTAATAATTGATATAAAGGAAAATTTTACATCAAACAATCTCACCAATTTATAATTATTATAAAAAAAACTACCCAAAACACAGCTATGTACTAGTATTATTAAGAAATTTGGTGAGACTGAGAACACATGAATCTTTAATATTTAGAAATTCTATTAAATTTCTAATAATAAAAACAGACAACTGATTGGCTGGTGAGGTTTTGTTGCCATAAAAAAAAACAACAACAACAATAAAAACTAAAATTTGAGTAAAAAAGTAAATATAAAAATGCATTTTCTGTAAAAAATTGCTAACTTGGATGTAACGGACCATTTTGCACACAAGAGGTTAAAAACCATTTAGGCGATATTCCCCTTTCAGATGCACAGGCAGCTACTGCAATCACCAATCTCCCGAACTGCAAACACACAAATTCTCCAACTCCCGAACTGGAACCATACGAATCCTCTAACTCCCGAACAGAAAACACACGAATGCTGTTAAACAGCCGAACAGGAAAAACCATACGAACAGCTTACACTGGCAGTCGCACTGTAACAGCATACAATCCAATTTCCCCCAAGAACGACACGACACTTTGTTTGAGGGTCAAGAAGAACTGGTTTACTGGTGCTACCTGCCCGGCTTTTATGCAGGTCTCCCACCTGGTGGACACTCCCCTAGGGGACCAGATGGAAGACTGGGATACAGGATAGACACTGACCAATTACAGACATACAGTGTAAAAACATTCCCACAATACATTGTAATCCCTCCTCTCTATCCTGGAGATAATTGGGAAGTAATCCAATTATCTCCAAGGGCAGAGGCAAGACTCCATTAACCACATGGCAGACAAAGGACAATAAAAGACATTAAAATATACAATGTTACATTTATTACCTAAAATACACACATGTAACATATCACCAGATAGCTTAGATCTGAGCGCACATTATTACCGAATGGCACTCAGATCTCACATATACAGTTTAACTGCCATGGAGCCAAAGTCCCTTATTACATGAATAGGCTCCATGGCATAGCTATCTGGGTTAAAGCATTCACATAGTTAAAGTCCCGACTGATCCGGTGTTCGGCTAAACGACCAGAGCTAGAAGCAGGGAAGGCTGGGGACTCAGCGGTGTTCGTGAGTAAAAGTGTCCGTTTTTAGTTCCATGAATTTGGGACTGAACACCGCTGGCCACGCAGAATGCTGCCACCCTGTGTTAGTTATGCGCAACCGCGACCACCCGGTAGCAATCAATTCAGCTGCGGTTAACCGCAACTACTGGGTAGTCAATTGACGGCACACACCACTTCAGGGAGGCCAATTGAAGACATCCGAAAGTCCCTGGTGATCGGCCGTTCGTTAGTTTGTTCGGTAGATTGAATCTGCACGAATACGCCTTTCTGCAGGGAAAATAGTGTTTTTAAATGCCGGTCCATAGTCTGAGGGGAGCAGGCGGGCAACCAGGCTCCTCCAATGCACAGTGGCGAGGTTGGTTCTGCCACATTGGAGAATTTTTTTTCCAATTCAGCTACATTGACCTACATTTGAAATTCTCTTTGAATTCACTTTAAATTTTCAAGTTAATAGTGAACAAAAGCCATCTCTTGACCCTACCTTCCCTTCCAACTATTGTCCCATATCCCAGCTCCCTTTCGCCTCAAATCTTTTGGAAAGACTTGTCTTTACCCATCTGACTTGCTTCCTCTCTCCTTGACCCTCTTCAGTCTGGATTTCGCCCCCCCACTCCACTGAGACTGCTCTGACTCGAGTTACAAATGATCTCATTGCAGCGAAACCCAAAAGACACTATTCCATAATTCTTCTTGACCTCTGTGCTGCCTTTGACACTGTTGATCATGACCTCCTTCTCCTAACTCTTCAATCTCTTGGTCTCTGAGACACAGCCCTCTCATGGTCCTCCTACTATCTCTTCCAATGCTCCTTCAGTGTCTATTTTTCCAACGACACCTCCTCTCCTTGACCTGTCTCAGTCGGAGTCCCACAAGGTTCAGTTCTCTCAGTTCCCCTTTTGTTCTCTCTCTATACTGCCTCTCTTGGCAAATTCATTATTTAATTTGGATTCCACTACCACCTGTACGCCAATGACACCCAGATATACCTCTCATCCCCTGAAATCTCCTCTGCTGTCCTACAACGTGTCACCAATTGCTTCTCTTCTATCTCTAAATGGATGTCCTCCCACTTTCTGAAACTCAATCTCTCTAAAACTTAAAAAGTTTCTTATTTTTCCTCCTCATAACACTGATCCTTCTCCTTCACTCTCCCTGCAGGTTGACGGTACCTGCCTCACCCAATCCTTTCAAGCTCGCTGTCTTGGTGTAATTTTTGATCCTGGCCTCACCTTTGCGCCTCATGTCCCGTCTGTTGCTAAAATCTGTTGATTCCAGCTTAAAAACATTGGCCGCATACTCCCCTTTCTTACGCAAGATACTACCAAGGAGCTGTTTCATGTTCTAGTAATCTCTCGCCGTACTGCCCCCCTACAATCTGGTATGAATGCTGCTGCCTGGCTGATCTTGCTCTCCTGTCGCTCCTCTCAAACCTCACCCCTCTGTTGATCCTTACACTGGCTTCCAGTACCCTACGTCTTATGCCAATATGTATGATAAGCTGATAATCTGTTCCTTTTCCCTCTCCATTGAAATGGTGTGACCCTCTTCTGAATGTTTGCTCAATACCCCAGGGGATTTTATAGGACTGTTCACAGACATGGTTTTAAACCAGACATGGTTTCTTTGGACTTCTAATTCAGGTTGAGTGCTGGCATGTGTCTAAGTTTCTGAAGAAAGGCCTTGATGGGAGTGCATTTGGTTTAAGTTTGACTCCTGTTTTTCATTACTGCCATCTTGCAAATCCTTTTTGGCTTGCTTACAAGCTGCAATGACTAGCTTACTGCTTGTTCTCAATGGAGGAGTCACCGTGGTTAGTGGAGGCTAGTTCAGTCAAGGCTAGTCATAGAAGTAATGCTTTGTGCTTGGGGTTCCATCACCACACTATATGTTTGTTCATCCACATTGCATTGGACAGAGGGTCTGCTGTCCTGTGTTGTGTTAGGGGGAGCTTCTTTGAATTTTACACTTTCTAATTTTACAGCTTGTGGAGTAGATGTGGTGCTTGGATAAAAGGAAGCAGTAACCCTGACCAATGCATGTTTTCTCTGTTCAAAAAGAGGCTTTGTCTATTTGAGAATTTGTTACAACTGAGAGTGAATCAAACGACGAGGTCCTCAACCGTCCACCAGTGGTAGCTGTAATGACTCTCTGAGAGTTCTGCCTCTAAGTAGAAATGCCAAGATTTGGTTTTTCATGAATCTCTTTCTGCAATCGTTCCAGCTGTTCTTCTGCATTCATCCTCTGCTTCCTAACAGCGCCAACTAGGAGGTGAATATTTTACTTCTTTAATAATCTTGTGACCTTTGGGGATGGACACTGGGCAAGAGGATGGAATCAGATTATAGTCTACTGCATCCTTATTGGGTTTTACAGCATCTCTCTCAGCAGTCGATGCCTGTTGTCATTCATTGCCCTTGAGTTACAAATCAGTCTGTTGTTCATTGAACAGGTCTTGTTTATTCTGCTGCTGGTCACTGTTCCCTCTACTCTGTCAATCTATTCCAGGGCTAGCAATGGCCTGGTGGTTCTTGAGCAGAGGAGGTCTAGGAGGAGTATATTCAATGTCTGCATTTCCTTCTCTCTGGCTTAGAGGATTCTGACCAGAATGAAGAAGGAAGCTTCTTTGATAGGCAGGCTGGGGTTCTCCAAGTATGGATGAAGTCATTATTACTGCGGGATGTCGTGTTGACTCAAGGATTATGTGGAAGCTGCTTTTATTATATCGCAAGCAGGAAATAATGGCATTGATCATCCAAAGATAACGCAGGGCTGCAGCTGGCTCCTGTGGATGCCCCATTTGACTGACACGTTCCAAAGTCCCCCTCAATGCTTGCAAGTCCCTCTCAAGAATCTGATATTTCTCCCATGCTCGCTCTTGTTCCAGGAAAAGGTCACAGAACATGCATGCACATATACAAGCAGTGGCGTACATACCGCGGTCGCAGAGGTCGCAACTGCGACTGGGTCTGTCACTCCAGGGGGTGCGGCCACCTTGCGGACCCCTGCGACCAGGTGCCCACCACCATGTGTTGCGGCCCCGACCCGCATGGCAAACCGCCGGGGCTGCACGTTCATGCTGTTAGGGCCATCCGATGGAGATGAATTTCCAGGGGGCCCCGGTCAGCGCTGCGGCGATTTAACAGTGCAACCGGGCCCACTTTGGTGACATCACAGCTGGGAGGAAGTGACTGCCCGTCACTCCTCCCAGCTCTCAGAGAGGCCGCGTGGGATGAAGGAGAAGGAGTCAGAGTGGGAACTCGCACAGGGGCCCCATGGATTGTGTGTACGCCACTGTATACAAGATCATCCTGCAGCAGCCTCTGTTGGTACCAAATATTTTCTATAACATGATTTTAACTCTGGAATGCATCAAGGTCGTGGTGCATCATGTGAAGGGTATCCTCTAGGTTTTCCTTCTCTGCTCAAAGATAATTGGTTTCCTCTTCAATGCTGACCACAGACCTTTGACAGAAGAACATTAATGCTATTGTTGGACAGTCAAGGTTGATGAAGGACTCTCTGCATGAGCACCGGTTTGGCCTGAGAATGAAGGCAGGGGAGGTAGCTGGGAATAGCTGGCAGAGACCAATTTTGACAAGTGTCTGGGTGCACATCTATGCCCAAAACCTCAACCAGAAAATACTGCTCCAAGAGCAAGTAATGACCTCTCAGAATACCTTGGTGTCTGGTTTTGGGGTCTCCTAAAGGATGGGGTAAGCAATAACTCTGCACGGTACTCTTCTATTATAACTTTTTCGTTTGGATTATTTTGCCCTTTTTGTAATCTATTTGGATACTACTGTAGATCTGAGATTTGGGTGGCAAAGGTACCCCACAATCATCTACTAGTCTTTCATCTCTAGTTCCAATAGGTTGTGACCTCCAGTAGTAACTACCCTTTGCCACTTTAGATAAAAAGTAGGGATCATCCGATGGTATGACATTATACTGATCAGACAGTGTGACAGACCCATCTGTATGACTATTATTTGTGGATTTGTCTAGTTTCCCTTCCTTTCGTGGAAATTGCCTGTTTCTAAAGCCCATGCGTATGATTGACTTTTTACCGAACAAATCAACTGAACGGACGGCCACCCAGAATAGAAGTGTGCTGCTGGTTAACCTCCGCAGACACTTCTTAATTATAACCGAATACAGGGTGGTCGTCGTTCGCATGTTGACCATGAGGCAGCGGCCATTTTAAATCACACGAAAGACCAGCGGTGTTCGGCATTGATTCCATGGAACTAAAAACTGACACTTTTTCTGCCAAACACCGCTGAAACAACAGGTCACCCTTCTCCGTCGACGAAAGCATGCGAACACCGACCGTTCGGGAGTGTTGAATTACATAAAGAGACTTAACCCAGATAGCCTTCCCATGGAGTCAATTGCATACCAAAAGACTGTAAGAACTTTGACTCCATGGCGATTGAACTATGCGTATGGGATCTGAGCGCTATTCGCTAATAATACGCCCTCAGATACAGGCTATCTTGGGATACGTTATACGAATGTAAAATGTTCGGTAGTTGTGTAACTATTTATTTTCATGTGTTTTCTGGTGTTTTACTTAAAATGGCGATTTGTCTTTGTCCTGGAGATAATTGAATTACTTCTCAATTATCTCCAAGGCAGAGGGGAGGAAACCATGCTGCATTGTGGGAAAAGTTTGTGCTTGTATGTCTGAAATGGCCATATGTCTCTCTGTCATCCCAGTCTCCCATTTGGTCCCCTAGGGGAGTGTCCACCAAGTGGGAGACCTGCATAAATACCGGCGGGTAGCCCACAGTAAAGCGAGATTTTGTTTTACCCAAAATGCGCAGCTTGGTCTCGTTATTGGGGGGATTTATTACCGACGACTAGAGACTGATTGCTGGAGCCGAAAGCCGCTTGGTGGATATACTTGTTCGGCGGCTAGCAACGATTCGTGGATTTATGTTCGGGAGTTTGGAGCCCTCTTACGGATCCCGGTCGGGAGATTGCCGCTTCCCCTGATGGTGGTTCGTACACAGCAGGATATGCGAACGGAGATAGTAAGATTGCGAAGGGGGAAGCTTAACTAAACGGCGGTTTCACTCATAGGCACCAGGGGTTTTCATCTTAAGCCCTAGCTTGCCTAACACCAAATGTTTGAGGTCTTGATAATGAGGACTTAACAATATGGCATCTGGCCTTGGAGCTGGTTATGAAATATTCACCAGATCTTTCTTCATTATATCTGAAAGGAGGTGCAGAATTTGAGAGTCTTTCTTCAAAAGGAAGGAGGTCTACCCACCCAATCGGCGTGTTTGATCAGCCTGTCAGAGTGATCACTGCTGCAGGGACAGCGTGATGCTCCCGGTCTGCCTCGAATACAGAGGAAGACCGGAGGAGTGTTAACCCCGCGATCGCCGCGATCTGGGGTTAACTTTAGTGCATGACAGACCCGGTCCATCATCTGGTGTTAACTGCTTGCCCGGCATGACGGACCGGGTCCGTCATTTGTCACTGGAAATTAGTCTTTGCAGTGACAAGGATATTTAACTATTTGCCGACTGGCTCTTTAACTTATTCTGGACATTGTTAAATAGCGCGAACAAGCATAATTTTGGAGTCTAAATGGCTTCATACATAGCCCAATGGTTTTGCCCTGGTGTACATTCGTTGTTTTGTGAATAACCTTGTTAGTTTACAAAGTGCACAAACAATTCATTGAAAGTCATCTGGGGTTACAAAATGAACTTCCCCACTTAGGGAAGAGAAAGGCAGTTATATACTCTAAAACATTTAAATGTGTTATGTAGGAGACAATAACAACGTAACATTTTGTAGTCTGCAGAGATGTCGTACATGCATCATTCATCAGAATAACCAAGGCAATCACTGCTTGAACCGTTTCTTGGCAAACAGATTCACATTACAACCAGTACTGTTATTCCCTCATTATGCACAATCACTTTAAGCAGTCAGGACAGAACATCATAAGAATGCATTGCCGCTATAATGAAAGTGTAAAACGCTTCAAACATTTAAGAATTATCTACTAAAAGTATGTAATTAAAATAAAAACAACAAAATTGCTTTTGGAAGATCTGTACACTTTCATTTTAGATAAAATAAAAAAAAAAGCAATATGACGAATTAGACTTCAAACTTTTAAATCCCTGCAAAAATTGTTTTTCATTTAGCAATGCTATGGATCTAAACGGCACGCATAATTTTAGCAAACTGGCAATATATGTCGCCCATTAACCAGTTGTGTGCATAGTTTTTCTTGCATCTCTGCATGCCTCTGCAATGTTTAACACATCTCTCCTGTTTCCCAAGATGTTTTAGTTTTCCCTTAAGATTTCCGAAATAACTGAATTGTTAAACACTGTAGACATGTGCTTCTGAATTTCTGATTTTTTACAAACTAAAACTAACTGGAAATTAACACATTTTGACAAATCAAAAACAATTATTTGGGATAAGGATATCAAATTAGAAACCTATCTACTAAGCAACTGAAACAGCAGAATTAAGAAAAAATTGCCTTTTCTTTATTTTTGCTCATCAGCTGCTTAGAAGATAGCACCCTAATTTGGTATCCTTACATGGGATTGCCATAATCAAGGGTACCATATTACAGACCTATCTACTAAGCAATTGAACGAGCAATTGTAAGAAAAAAGTATTTTAATATTTTTGTTCTTTCATCCAAATTAGGGAGTTATCGCCTAAACATCTGAAAGATCAGAAATCCATATGATTCATTTTGAGCCTTCCACTGTATTTAGTATTTAGAGAGCGTTGCCACTCCAGGGTAGCTGTGGACAGGGCAGGAAAAAATGTTAAGGAGTGTTCCTCAAATTGAAAAGGTGATCTGTTACGGATGGCCGCCATGAAGGCCAGACGGTCCTGACTCTGCCAGAAGCGGACAATGGTGTCTCTGCTAGTACCCAGGGAACCTGTGGTTGGTTTGGTGATTCTATACCATCCATCTAGAGGCATCGCCTTAGCTTGTCTGGCTGAGAATAGTGCATTAAGCAACCTACGAAATAGGTGTGTAAATTCAGCAGGCTCTAGTGTGTCAGGCAGGCCTCTGATTTTGATATTTTTCCAGCACCTCTTGTCTTCCATTGCCACCATAGTGTCCTGGGCTAGTGTCTGGGTGCGCTGTAGGGTTGACAGCTGTCTCTCCAGTGACTGTATGTGGTTATCTTGGTCCGCAGAGTTCAGCTCTGTATGTTGCAAGTGTGCTGAGACTCCATTAATTTCTTCCCGGAACCGCAATGTTCAGGCGTAGCTTGTCTAAGAGGCTCTGCAACGTGTCCTCTGTGACAGGAGGCTTTGCAGCTGGTGCGGATATTGGGGGCACGGGTCTAGTAGGTACCCTAGTGTCGTAGTCGTCCCCGTCAGCTGAGATCTCGTCGCCGGATGAGAGTCCATCTGACGTTGGCGCCATTTCAGGCCTCCCGGTGGATTGCGGCCTGCTCAGGAGCTCACCAATGTCGGCTGTTGTGGGGGGTCTCTCAGCTTTATATTTCTTATTACGACTCCCCATGCTTTCAGCGAGGTATATAGCAGCTTTGTGTGGAGGTAGGTAATAAAATTCCTGTGATAAATGCTTATTATCTGCGTTCTTGCTTGAGGGAGCTTGGCTCGGCCCCCCCCATTTCTTTTTCATGTCAACATGAAAATGTAACATTGAGCAGAAACAAAACTCATGAATTAGTTTTGAAAAACAGCAATGTTTCCATTTGCCTGAAACCATGTCTTTTATGACTATCAGACTAACAGCAACTACAGGCTCTTCCTCGTGAAGGCCTTTGAGAGTGATAACACCAGGATTATGCCAAAAGCTCTTGATTCTCTATGGGAAACATTAGAATGGCAGAGCAAGGCAATTGCCGAGCATACATCCTATGTCCCCAGTACTTCTCTACGGTGACTTCACTGGAAGTGGAGCTTCTGCCAGCGGATACAGACCTGGAAGATATAAAGGTGAGTTTTATAGTGTGTGGCAAACCTAGCCACTTTAAGGCTTACTGTATAACTTCAGAAGGTTGTCTGCTTTTATTGTGTGTATGAATGTATTCGTGTTGTAGCGGAACGCCAATATTAAATCCACGAATTCTGCTGGTTCAGGAAGTAATCCACAGTCAAGCGCTGGAAAAAGCAAGGCAATATCCCAAACCTCCCAGTAACCGGACGAAACACAGTTCTGAGAGTCAACTGATGTCTTTATTTTCAGCTCCACAATTTATACAAGTCCCCATGCAAGGGGTTTCCTGAGTCCCCTCCCAGGGACATTCCCAGAGGGGACTACATGGGGGACTTACAATACAGAGCATTTCTCCCATCAGGCACTGCTGCACGAGAGGGATCCTCCCACAGGAATGTACCGTTAAGTGGATTATCCCTCCATGCAGCAGAACCGACAATTTATATTAAAATGCATAACTGTGGTAATATACGGTTCATTTAAACAAATGGACGTTCGGTAGATAGCTGGGGTCTGAGCGCATCATTCGTGAGATTACCACTCAGATCCCAGCTAAACCAACCGAACGCTGCACGAAAAACACATTCATTAAAAGACATGTTCAAAATACCGATTGCCTTCCAGGGAACCAAATACCGAACGGCCCGGGACTCCCGAATGGCCTGGAAGCTCATCGGTGTTCGCGCCGTCGAGTAGACGTTTTTAGTACCATGCGCTCGACGACCAAACACCGCTGAGGGAACAAAGGATCCAAGATGGCCGACCGCTGCATAGTCGGTAGTCGAACGACGGCCACCTTGGAGAGCCTCTAATTACAGATTGCAACGTTGTTGCAATCGGTTAACAAGCGCCACACGTCTCTTAGTGTGTGGGCTATTAAAGGATAGTTCATTCGGTTCACGAACGGCCCGCAAAGGTGCCGTTCGTGAAACGAAAGGAAATCAGCTATCTGCTTTCAGCAGATAGCCAATGCAGGCAATACAGTGTTACACAATTCACATTACATTATACTCTGGAACATGCATATCACGAAAATCATACAGGCAACCCTTAAAGCAACAGTACTTAAATAATGTCCAAGTGGCTAGGTTTGCCACACGTGTATTTGCAATAAAGAGTTTTCGTATGCTAACAGCCAAAAGCCGCTAGCATTCATATGGTAGTTTCACGAACACTGACTTTAGACACTGTTCGTGAAACGAATAAAGTACCGAATGGGAGCCCACACACAGAGGGTCGTGTGGCTCCCATTAACCGATTGCAACATTGTAGCAATCGGTAGTTAAGTGCTTTCCTGGGTGGATGTCGTTCGGCTACCGACCACGCGGTGGTCGGCTATCTTGGATCCTTTGTTAGCCCAGCTAAAACTAAAATCTGCTACTCGACGGCGCGAACACCGCTGGACTTCCAGGCCGTTTGGGAGCACCGGTCCTCCGGTATTTTGTTCCCTAATATGTATTCGGTACTTTTAATGAGAATCTAAAATAAAGTGTGTTTCGTGCGGCGTTCGGTTATTTATGCTGGGATCTGATCGGTACTTTCACGAAGTGTGCGCTCAGACCCCAGCTATCTACCGAACGGTCATTTAAGGGAATCACACGAATAATATTAAAGTTATGGATTTTTGTGTTAAGTATCCCTCACGTACAGCAGTGCATGGTGGGAGAAATGCTCTGTATATTCAGTTCCCCATGTAGTCCTCTACTGTAATACCCCTGTAAAGTGACAAAGGAATCCCCTTGCATGGGGAATCACATAAATACTGGAGCTGTGACTAAAATTGTCAGTTGACTCCCAGAACTGTGTTTCATCCGGTTACTGGGGGATTTTGGATATTGCCTTCTTTTCCAGCACTTTACTTTGGATTACTTTCTGTACCAGCGGAGATCTTGGGATTTAATAATGCAGCTCCGCTACAGAGTGATTTAAAAAAAACAACAACATGAGTGTACCTTGAATATACTAACAGGAACACTCTAATGTTAAAAATATAATTTTACCAGTAATAATAACCTATTACATTATATCTAATTAAAAGTTAGTTACCTGAGGATATTTATGGTGTAATAAATATTAAAATAATATTTTCATAAAAATTATAAACAATTGATTTAATAATTTTTAATATATCAAAAATGTATATATTGGCTCTGTTCCCCTTGATTGATTTAAAGCAAAGTGTTACCCACTATTTTAACTCTTACAGACCTTGGAGTACGTTTTATTAGAGAATTTGTATTTCACACATTAATCACAAATTAATTATAAAAATATAATTTATTGTGACAATGAATAATAATAATGTGTAACATGCATGACAATAATCAGTGAATATTTAGGTATTACATAAGCATACATAAGGCAACCATTTTGATACAATTACAGATAGTTCAATAGCAACATATCCACATAGATGAAAATTTCAACAAATTTACAACAGTACACTTCACTTTGAAATAAGATATGCATTTCTTAACACAGAACTGTTCACAATGTCTCACAACAGCACAGCTAATAGCCATAGAACTTTTCTGTTAGTCTGAATCACACTGAACTCACTCATTGCTGGCTACATTTCTCATACGATAAATACCTTTAATAATGCAATTGACAACCAGATAAGTTTAACCATTACTTCTCATCCAATAACCAATGAATAATTCTAGCAGATTTTACATTTGCAGAAGATTAGCTTTCCTGATTAAAGGTTAATTATCCCTAAATTCAAATAAGTCAATATCTTTGGATAAGAGCTTGATATGCTACACTTGGCAAATTACCAGTAAATAATATTGTTTATTTATTCCACCTGCAGGAATGGAACTTAAATAACCATATATTTCCTTAGCTAATTATGATTTCTAAGTTACAAATCTGACCAGCTTTTATCCAGGTATATTCCTGCTTTGAGTAAATATTAATTATTTAAATTAAATTAAATAAAACCAGCATATTTACCAGCTTTTTTGGTAGAAGTTATTTTAGGCTTGGAGATATTCCATAAATAGTGTATGCAAGTATGAGTAGAGAATTGTGAAAATAGGAAAGTTATCAGAGTTCTGAATATTAAGAATTCCAGAGTTTCAGCTGGAAAAGACAAGTGTTAGAGTGTTTACAAAGTTCCAGAATTAGTTGGAAGGAGACAGATCCTTGTCTCCTACTCCAGATCTCAGACTTCCACTTCTATTCGGCTTATCCTCAATTTTTAAAAGACCAGCTTCCCTAAACTTTCTTTATGTCACTATTTTAAAGTGGCGCATAGAGTCAGGTGGGAGTATCATTCTATAGGTTATCATCTAAACTTTGGTCAATATATGGCGTTGTAACATCACAGGAAATTCTCGTCAGGAAGTCCAATTATCACTTTGTATAAGGGGTTAATTGACTTTCATAATGCGTTTGAAGTCATCATCCTTATCTTTATGGATAACCATCCATCAAAGATGTATCATTCTTCAAAGGATTTTGGTTCTTTTTCTGCAGACAGACCATCTCCTCTTTGGGTCATAAAATAGATTTTAACACATAATGAACCCTTGTTCACCTTGTCTAATACAATGGAACTTTGTATCAATACTTTAAATTTAAAGTTAATTACTTTTAGTGTTATCTGTTTCTTGTAATCCTGTGTCTGGTTTTTGTGTGAAACTATGTAGTACTTAGTAATGTGACAACATGTGATATGTACATGTATTTTGCACACATTCAGCTAATATTAGTTTAATAATAATGACATGTCTTCATTGGGATTCTATCCATGAATATTCAATATTATTAACAAAGGTACTATTTATATATGATAAAGTATAATTATAGTTGATCTATATGGATATATATGGATATATATGTATATGTGTGTCTGGACTGTTTCAGCCCCCCTTCTTGTAAGAGAGTCTTATCTCTGGTCAGTGTTTACGCTAGCCGTATTCCATTGTTTAGGGATCTTTGAATGAATAGAGTTACAGAGAAATAAAATGTGTGTCTGTCTTTGCATTTTTGTGACTAACAGTATACATTTGTAATTTCTATCTTAACACAAAATGTCTGGCAGTGGAAATATACTGACAGTTATCAGAACTGATATTTTTTTTTTTTAATTTGGATTGGTATTACAAGGTTTGGTGGACCACTGTATTCTCGCTGCCAAGGATTCCCTTTTTTGTAGTGTAATAGCTCCTTCCAGAAAAAGTAGTGATTATAGTTAGTATAGCTTTCCCCCACCCATATATTAGACGAGACTTAATATTGGGAGTAGATCTGGTTTATTCAGGCAAGGCACACAGCATTTATACAACTGCACCCAGCATGGGGTCTCCATTCATTGACACATATACCCGCCCAGGATAATTATCTCCTGGACACAACTGGTTCAACACAAACAAAACTTAAAATACATAGTCCAGTACCCCCACAACTCATATATCCCCAGGTAGCTGATCTCCGAATGCCCAGTCTGTCCAAATAATGCCTGGATCCATAGAGAATTGACCAAATGCCACCAGGGTAAAGATTTGACCGGCAGCACACGAGGTCTACGTCCAAAAATATTTCCAGAGTGATTGGTGCTTTGGCCGGTCAACTGTCGGGGGCTCCTGTGTACAAAGTAAATAATATTCCTCTTGGCAATCAGGGGGAGATTGTAACCCTCCCCTTTAGCTACCTTTCCTCCAAAAAGCACCTGGCATGTTGGTAAAGGGTCATTACCTTGGGTAAAAATGACTGGGAGCTGCGACAACTCATAGCCGATTTGAGTTCCATAGTGGTCCCGCTGAAGCCATTCGCAAGATTTTATGCACGAATGACGGCCAGGGAGTGAGTGTTCGGATAAATTCGGGAGAGGGACGGCACTGAACCAGGAGAATCGTAGATAGGACTCTTGGGGTGGCCGTGCAGGCTAACTCCTGATGTTAGAATGTAAACATGCTCCCTTGACAAAGGCTTTTTAGCTGAAATGTTGGTTTTTTTTTGATTGACTCTGTCCCTACTTCTCACTGAATTTGGTATGGTTTGCTGCATTTTTTTATATGTCTGGGTTTTCATTATACTAGTATTATAGTGGACTGTTTACATGATATTTCTTTCATTCATTTATTACGCATTGAGCATTTATATTTGCTTATATCATTGCTTTTCTGGTAAATGCTTTTGAATAGCATGACTTTGTACCTCTGTGGATAATATTTAAAGAGACAGTCCTATAGTATATACCCATTTAATAAAGTTTTTTTTCATATATATAAAGATTTATGGTTGTGCTCCTTACTCTATTCACACTGTTAGAATGTAAACAAGTAAACAAGTCTGGAGTATCCTGACTTCCACTATAAAATCAGATTATCCATGGTTCATTGTACTAGGACTTCCCACTTAAAAAATAACCTATTATATTATATCTAAGAAAAATTTAGTTTTAAGCAGCTATTTTTTTTTATTTAAGAAACTTTATTTAGATTGGTCATACAAGGCTTTGCTGGAGCATCCTGACATCCACTACAAAATCAGAATGCCCATGATTCATAGTACGAGGCCTTCCCCAAAAGATAAACAAAAACATCATAGATGTGATACAGGCTATTAACATAAACTATAATACAATAGAGATAAAGATTAAAAACAACATAACCCATCATTTCTAACACATCAAGGTTTCATAAACGAACACTCAAGGTATTAACATTCTGCTAGTTTATCTTTCATTCTCACTTTTCTCTCTAGCTTCACTGCTTGAGCTGTTTATTTACTTTTCTTCAGGCATTTCTTCAAATGACAGACTGTGGACTCCAGTGACATGCCAAATGAGCAACTCGGAGACAGTTATTTTCTAGTAATAGAGTTGTATATCCTCCTCCCCTTGGATATTATTGTTATTGGCAAGCAAGTGGTTAATTATTATGAATTTACCTACTCACTGCGTCAAAATTATATTTTACTTTGGCACAGAGATAATTACATTCATTTAAGCAGCATTGGTAGACGTACTCACAACCCTGTTTGCAATACAGCCAACGACCGTCCTCTTCCCAGACCAAAGACATACTTTCCTACACACTATGGTGAGGGAACAACTCTCACACTACGCACGCTCGATTCCCCAAGGACCGTGCTAGACAAGAGAATGTATGGAGTTCGAATCTCTCTGCTTGTTAGACACACCACCCCCGAAAGCTATATCCCAGATATATACCTCGCTGGCAATGGGCCGATACCTCCTGGCACCGCCATGCATTAGGCGCTCGGAAGAGGATCTTGATGACACACTTACAGACACAGATAAGATCATCACTCTCATCCAGAAGACCCCAGGGTCGGTGAGGCTACAAGAAAATTCATATAAAGTATTTGCGAGATGGTACATCACCCCTGCTGACCTCCATGCAAGAGACAGCTCGAAACCGGCTACATGCTGGCGCTCCGGGATGGAGAACGGAACATTTCTCCACCTATGGTGGGACTGCACCCTCATCCGACCTTTCTGGGAAACAATAAGACGAGTGATTCACGAAATATCCGACGAAACCCTCTACTATATCCGCACCTTTTCTACTATATCACACGGCAATACCTACGCTGGCATATAAATGATCTGTGATACCGAGACTCCTCAATGCAGCGAAAGCAACCGTTCCCATATTCTAGAGACAACCGCGCACTCCCCTGGTCCGGTGATGGGTGGAGGAAGTGGTGGACACAAATTTGAAGACCTGAAGGCAATCACACCGAATGCAAAAGAAAAATACACGAAGCGATGGTTCTATTGGCTGAGACATATCGCCTCGGATGATTTCGTGACACTCCTGAATACACCCTAAAGACTACCATGTCACGCCTTCTCTAACACCAACACGAAAGCAGCAGCCCCACATGGTTTAAACCAACTACATGCAGAAATATGACACCCATATTGGACTACGTAAATGCCTAAACGCTATATTATCCCAGTCACATAAACTCGATATCAAAGCGTCATGATATCGCTCTCCTTACTTAACACACATCTAAACATGTGGCTTTACCCTTAACTACAAACTTAAGCGGAATGGTCACCCAGTTACTGTGAACAGCTTACTATTACCTATGTCGCACGTGATAAATAACTTGTAAACAGCTCTGTTGCACAATCTACTATGCCTCTGCGTAGGCACCAGATTGTCAATTTGCCTTATGTTTGCTATTACTATACATGCAAAATAAAAACCTATTTAAAACAAAATTATAAATTATTCTGTCAGTTTTATTGTGATTCATTGCAAAATGGCTAAGAAGGATATTGTTAAAATAAAGTTACCTAAGAACCTATTGTTCCCTCTACCTCCAATGAATGTGAGCTCAATAGTGAGGAACATTTAAGGAATATTTTTTATTTTTCTATGAATCAAACCATCTCCAATACTATTGTCATGGCTAAGTCCTCCATGCAAGAGTCCTGTCCAAATCGTTGTCATTAGCTTTGTCTAAAATGAATCCAATCCAGTTGCATGTGCAAGGTCTAATAAAATAAAAACTTAAGTTTAAATGTAGTAATAAATATTTCTATAACAGTAATCATATGGCGACGATATCATGGCTTGTAAGCGTATTGGAACGCAAAGTGTAAGTGTGAGTGGAGTTAGCTATTTCATTTTTTTTTTCAACAGATGGGAATATTTTTTTATTTGACAGTTTTTAGGAAGCTAAAGCAAATTTTTAGATACTGACAGCATAAAAAGAACAGGTACGCTAAATATAGCTCACCTAAAAAAAAAATTACAAAAATAAACTAAAACATTAAATGTTAATATGTAGAGGATATAATGCATTTGAAGGACACTTATTAGGGTCAAAGAACATTTTTTTTTTTTTATCAAATAAAACATACCATGCATTGTGGACACAATATAGAAAGTCATCTTGCCTTTGTGTATTTTTATGAAATATGCTGCCCTGTATAATTCACACAATGTAAAGTTTCATATACATATCTTTGGAAATTCTATACCCTCGAATATTACATTGACATTTCTCTAGTTTTCAAATATGTCCTTGAATGCATGAACAACAGAAAAAGGTGACAAGGTGACATATTAGATACAAATACATAGAAAACAACACAGCATTTATTATTGCATAAAATATATTGGCTGTTGGATGACAAGTGATCTTCCCTTGCGCATGCATTAGTTGATGAATGCTGCTGTCACATGATGGTAAGTTACCTGCCGCTTTGTGAATATCGCACTTGGTAAACATTCCTACCCATTACATAGTCAAGTATTCACCCCCCTTTTATATTATTTCACATTTTCCATCATTACCTTCAGGAATTAATATGGATTTTATTATGATTTTAACCATTTTATATAAACAACTTACTTAAACTTCAAAGGTGTAAAATAAATTTAATGTGACAATAGTTAAAAGAATACTTTAGGCACCATAACCACTTTATTTCTTATGGTGCCATGAGTGTTGTAAGGAATCAAACCGTTTTAGAATGGGGGGAGGAGGATCAGTGATCTAGAGTGCTTATGGTGATTCTTCAAAGTGCCCCTTTAAAGTGTCTCTGTCACCCCCTATCACTCAAAAAATTGAGTATTTTGCAAACATAAAATATTAATGAAATACTTACGCTGACTGTGTAGAATTTACCTGAAATTACTGAAAATTATATCATAAGACAAAGCAAGGCCTGCTTTATCCTATGCATTTTTCCTACACATGATAAAACTTGAAAAAAAGAGGCACTATCACTATCAAGTTTTGCACGTTACCCCATCCATCACTGCTGCAAGGAAAATCCTCCAAAGGCATCAGCACATGCATGCTCAAGAGTACAACACTGACGTGGGCCCCAGGCAGATGAAGCATCAGAAGTGGAATAGGATCCACCAGATAAGGAGAGCCGTGGCTGCAAGGGACACCTTCAGGTGAGTAAAATGTTCCTGCCCCTGTACTCTATCACCTCCGCACACGATGTAGCAATGTCACCATCTGGCGTCTTTGTAAAACAGGACCCCAGAAATTGAGTTGCTTTAATTAAAAATAAAACAGACCTTTGTTAGTTGTACAAGTATTCGCCCCAAAATCGACTCTGGTGCAACTAATTGCCTAGAGTCACTTTACATTCATAGTGTCTACTTATGTTAGAGTTTCCATAGTAGGCTCACATATGCAGGACTGACTTATGTCTACGATAACCCTCCCACTTCACTTGTCTTTCCTCATCAACCCCATGTTTCTACATGTTTCATCAACATATTTCTCTTTACATTAACCTAAAATGTTTTTCTCATCTCTCAGTCTCACATTTCTTCCATCTCACGTCATATTTTTTCCCATATCACCCTAATATGTTTTTTGTTTTTTTTTGACAATCTTTATTTACGATTTAGATTTTTGTACAGATATATAGGATAGATAGTACAATACAGGTAGAAAAGAATCAAAATCCAAGAAACTCTTGCATAAATATTACTTGTAACAGTTGGCAGCAACCATGCAGCCCATATTGTGCCAGGAAACACAGAGCAATGGATAGGAGATGAAAGTGAACTTTAGCAAGACCGAATAAAATGTGTCAGTAGACCTTACAGTCACATGCAGTGCCTTGCAAAAGTAGTCACCCCCCTTGGCATTTTTCGGGTTTTCTTGCCTCACAACCTGGAATTAACATGGATTGTTTGAGGATTTGCATCATTTAATTTACAGAACATGCCCACAACTTTGAAGATGTTTTTTTTTTTGTTTTTTTTATTGTGAAGCAAACAACAAATAGGACAAAATAACAGAAAAAGTCAATGTGCATAACTATTCACCCCCCTAAAGTCAATATTTTGTAGAGCCACCTTTTGCGGCAATCACAGCTCCAAGTCGCTTTGGATAGGTCTGTATGAGCTTGCCACATCTTTCCACTGGGATTTTTGCCCATTCCTCCTTGCAAATCCACTCCAACTCCTTCAAGTTGGACATAGGCGTGCGCAGCCTATTGCATTAGGGTGTGCACCCTAAAGCACAAGCACACGCCGCATATATATATGTATGTATGTATATATATGTGTGTATATATATATATATATATACACACATATATACACACATACACACACTGCTGTGTGTGTGTGTGTGCTGTGTGAGGGTGCTGTGTGAGGGTGCTGTTAGTGTGATGTGTGTGTGACGGTGCTGGTAGTGTGCTATGTGGGTGAGGGTGTTTGTGTGTGTGTGCTTGTGAG